TTTAGCTGGCTCTTTGGTCCAACATTACTTTTGAGAGTCATACCTTTGGATACAGGTAGCTCTAGTTAATTCATTTGAACTGCCATGTATAATCTTATTACTGCATGAGTTTTCTTCTGTTAATGAATATTTAACTTGCTTTGTTTGTTTCTCCATTTTTTTCCAAACATTTCTGCAATTAACATTATTTGCTGTGTCTCTTTGCTGCATATTTGTGAGTGTAGTTGGAGTAAGGTGTTAGAATTATACACTTAGAACATTATCTGTGTACTAAATAGTTCCAAATTACTCTCCAGAATGGTAGGGAGAAAAAAAATCAACATTTCCAGTAATCTGATATACTTGGGAACTTGAAAATTCTCCTAATGCAGAACCATTAGAAACACTGGGTGAAATACAAGAAATCAACCTGTTAAGTAATGAAGAAATCTCAAGAATTCAAGGAAATCCCGAGGGCCCAGAAATTTGTTTTTAAATTGTGGAAGAATGAAAGTCCAAAGCCATGTCTGCCAATGGGATTTCCTAATGCAGGCTTTTCCTATTAGGCAGGGATTTCCTATCAGGCTTTTGGGGGGCTCCTGTCCAGCCATTGGGTTAAAGGTGAAGCTAAAAACAGAACACAAAAAGTTTCAATAAGGTAAGCTAGTCGTGCCATCCCTGGAACCTGGCGGTTCTCTGACTTTTAATAATGCGCCATCCACTCGCCTGTTCTTTCTCACTAACAATCACTTCTGCCCTTCGGTTGTCTTTTCCTAGTTACTGGCGTGGCCTGGCTGGTTTGCTGGCTTACACCCTTCCTGAGGTTTTGGTGCCTCCTCATGTAATTCTTGGAAGCTGATCCCTGATGCCAGGCTTTCCCCATCCCCAGCTGGTTCAGTCATGAGCTCTCCTCCCTGCTCCCTCTGCTCCCAAAGCCTAGTTTGTGATGTCAAGACAGGTTGTACTGGCAAAGTACTGGACACTGGAGCACGTGACTGTAACTTGGCAGTGGGATTGGCCATGCCACCTTCCTCCCTTAGTGCCCACGAGACTTCCTTCAGGAATGGGAGTCAACAGACACAGGGAGCAGCCAGATTAGGGCCTTACAAACCTTACACAAAAGCACATAGGTAATAATAGGCTTAAAGTAGACATAACAAAGAAATAACCAAGCCAAAGTAAAAAGGCCCAAGACATTGCAGATATTAAAACATGATATAGGTTCTAGAAACGCCAGCTGTGTTCACTCAAATCCAAAGCGCAGTGGGCAGCCTAGGCGTTGGGATTGTGCAGATCCACCCAAACAACAGCCCCACACCTTTCCTGTTTCTCCACATCTCTGCCAACCGCTGAGGGAGGTGCAAACTGCAAGCCACATTGTTTCTTTATGGGACTGAGCTCATCCCAGCCAAGACCTTCCCTCTTCTGGCTTCTTGGGATTTGGAATGGTAGAAAGAAAGCATGTTCCATTTACCCGCTCTCTGCCCGTTTGGATTTTTGGTCCTGTATGTTTTGGAGAATGTGTGTGGGGTTTTTTTTTTTTTTTTTGGTATGTGTGTGAATGTGTGCATGCATGAATGTACTCGAAGGTGTGTATGTGTGTGTCTCTTGTGTCTGGTCGGTCTGTGTGTCTGAGTCCCCCTGAGGTCATTTGGTCCTTGGGATTCATGCTTAGCAGGGCTCGCCCTCAGCGGCTCCACCTGACCCAAGCCATTCTGTCTCCCTCCCTGGTTCCCACACCTGAAGCCACTCACCACATCCCTTGGCCTCACACTCTGCTTTTCCTGCTTCTTGTCTTAACTGCGCTAATCCCCAGGGCCTCACAAAGCTCCTCCTCCCCCCAAGGCGGCTCAGCAGCTCTCAGGTTTTAACCCTACCCTCACCATGCCTTCTCTCTGAGCATGTTTCAGCACAACGCAAACAAATACAGCTCTGTGTTTAAATGCAGCAACCTTAAAGACACTAAGAGTTAGATGATAGGCCTGCAGCAACGCAGGAACCAGAGCCCTAACTTTCCAAATCAGAAACTACGCATGGACCCTGGCAGAGCCTGACCCTAGGCACTATAGTGTCTTGGAATTCTAAGGAGAAATCCTATTAACATCTACTATTTAGCTATGCAATCCCTAGCAACTCCCTTAGCTTCTCCAGGCCTCAGATTTCCTCATATGCAAACCAGGGGTAATAGTCTCTACCTAATAAGGTTGTTCTGAGGAATGAATGAGGTGGGATCTGTGTTTAGAACAGTGCCTGACATATACTGAGCAGTGTATCTGGTGGCTACCATCACTCTTGGTAATGAAAGGTTGCACTGTCACAGGAACTAGCAGGTGGAAGTCATCACTGAGACAAGCGGTGCCAGAAAATTTAATTTCACTTATGCAAGTAGCAGCTTCTTCTTTCCATCTCAAGCTTTGTCCAATAATTACATGGGTCTTCTAAGACATCCCAGAAAATTTCCTAATCCTCTCTATTAAACCCAGAGTTTGATTACCAAAGCAGGGGCTAGCTCCTCGTTTCTCTCTGCTATCTTTTCTGCACTCACCCCCTGCCCCCAATGTCTTGCTCTTTGGACAGCACAAAGCTGACCCTGACAGTTCTCTGGGTAAAGAGAAAAGCTAGAGTGCCTCCCTTCCTGCCATCTCAGAATGTTGCCTTGAATGTGAACTTTCTGAAGATCCTATATTGGGCTGATATTTGACAGTCCAACATTTTTTAAAAACATGATCCTCTATTTGGTCAAAATCCTGTCTCCTGGAGACTTCCAAGCAGATTGTTTCACTTGGTATTCTGCTCCTTCTTGTTTTAGGCTCAGGGTATGATGAGGTGCTGACTCAGAGGGAAAGATGCCAGCCTCCTGCAACTCTAGGTATCATAAAATATTGACTTTTGCTGTTTGTAAATGCTCAGTTTAAGACAGACTTCAGCATATGCTTTCAAGGAAGAGATTGGATGTTTCTACCAAACATCCTCAGATTCATTGTGGGGGAAGTCCAGGGGATAAAGTGTGACACCTGTAATCTAACTCATATCCTGAAGTCATAAGCCCCACTAGCTCCAAAGGATAGACATTAATTTAAAAGTAAAGACTTGATTTGGAATAGCCTTTTCCATGAGAAATATCAAATTAATAATATTTTATTGAGTTGCGTTTTAAAAGTGGACATTTTTGTATCTTTCGCATATGGAAAATCCAGGCTGGGCTCAGCACAGATGCAGTGACCGTCCATGCCCACTGCAGGACTTCTCCTGGCATTCCAGCACGACCTGTTTGCAAGAGCACCTCAGTCTTTAGCGTTCAGTCTCATCTCCATGCTAGGAATGATTCTGATATTTGCTAGCAATTACTAAGCTCCACTTTATGCTCAGCTCCTACAGGACCTGAGGAAGTTAGAGGATTTCCCCTGGGGCGCATAGCCCCTCCAGATCCCTTGCAGCTCAGAACCATTGTGCCAAAACATTACCTTGATGCTCAGACTCATTTTCAACACTCATCTCAGTTCCAGCCAATCATCTTTCACTTTCTCCTTTCTGATTCTCTTTCTTTCTCTCTCTCTCTCTCTTTCTCTCTCTCTCTCTCTCTCTCTCTCTCTCTCTCTCTCTCTCCCTCCCCCCCCCTCCCTCCCTCCCTCCCTCCAGGTGGAGGGCACCTGGAGGAGGTGGGGAAACGGACAGTGGTGGCGGGGGAGGATGGGGCAGATAGATGACTTCCAGGAAGCGGTCACCTCTGATATTTAAAGAACTGTTTCAAATTCTGCCCTACGGTGGAAGCAGGCAGTACTCACTGACAGAAACCATGCTGGCAAGTCTGTTTACCCAGGGTAAGTCAACAAACCTTAAGAGGCAATGGAGGGTGATTTTGCTTGTTGTAGCAACTGTCAAGAGAAGAACTCAATCGCTGTTGTTAGTCTAAAAGACTAATTTGTTTTTATGCCAGTCCTGGGGTTTGAACAGAAGGCCTGAGCACTATCCTTTAGCTTTTTTGAGTGTAAGAGTAGTACCCTACACTTGAGCCCATAGCTCCACTTCCAGATTTTTGGTAGTTACTTGGAGATCATAGTCTCATGGACTTTCCTGCCTGAGCTGGCTTCAAACTGTGATCTTCAGATCTCGGCCTCCTGAGTAGCATAAGCTACTGGTACCCAGAGCTTTTCCATTGTTTTAAATGGACTACATTCAAATTCATTTTTCAAACAAACCTACATCAGTAAAATGCAAAGAAAGTATCCCCCAAAGTTAAAACCAAAGGAAAGCAGATGAAAGTACTTTATGGATGTTAAAGAGCAAATGTCTGGTAACTCCTCCAATAATTTCCTGTTTACATTTTTTCAAACTTAGCCCTTTAGTTATGCTTTCCAGTAGTAGATTTCCATGCCCCCCCTCCCCCGTTTTTCCAAGAATTTTTTGGAACCAGCAGACTTCTCAGCCCACGTGATTTGAAAGGGAATTCAGGATTTCTGTTTCAACTGATTGAAACAGATCTCTTCCACAACCTACCAAAAAGTTAAGTTTATGGTTTTCTTAATGTGCTCATTAAAGCTGGTAAATTACAGGGATCCTCACGTCTTAGAAAGCAGATTGAAGGAGGCTCGGGAGAGTTGGAGTGAAAGCAAAGTCCACCCTCCACCCCAGCCTGCAAAAAGACAGTTAATTTTTTCCAGTTCTTTCTCCCAGGAAGGACTAGACTTTCTGGGTGTGACATATTCTCTCCTTCTCGCTCCCTCCCCCCTCCCCCCCTCCCCCCTCCCCCCTCTCCCCCCTCTCCCCCCTTTCCCCCCTCTCCCTCCTCTCCCTCCTCTCCCTCTTCTCCCTCCTCTTCCTTTACCTCCTTCTCTCTTTGCCTCCCTCTCTCCCTCTTTCCCTCTCTCCCTCCCTGTCTCCCTTTCCCTCTGCCTCCCTCCCTTCCTCTCTTCCTCCCCCTCCCTCCCTCTCTCTCTTTCTCCCTCTCCTCTGGCAGAGTCCTGTAGCCCTGAGCACCCACAAGCCTTTGAGAGCCTCCTTCCCAGCCGGAGGTTGCTTACCCTGGCCAGAGTGAAGGAGCACAAGTCCTAGGGCCCAGACCAGGGCAGCACGCAGAGAGGTCATGTCAGCCCGGGCGCTCACTCAGGATGCTGCCTGTGCTGAGCTACACTCTAGCCTGCCTCAAACACTCACATTTCCTGTTTCCTGCTTGTTTGGGTCGGTGCTCACTTGAAGGAGAGGTGTTTGCGTTTTTTAGGAAGTGATGTAACTGCAGGAGCCTGTCAGACCAGCAAGGATTGCAACAGAGAAGTTGTTCTCCTAATACTGATTCAGTTAGCATGCCTGCCCAGCCTCTACCTTTGAAATGTTCTCCGTTGCTCACATGGCATTTGGGATCTGGGGTTAGAGGTGCCTAGACCACAAGCATTTGGGCTCTGTGATTATGTGCATTCCCCAGGTGAGTGTCTGGGGCTACTGGGGCTGTCCAGGCGAACTCAGAGCTGATGGTAATGTGCTCCACCTGTGCTGTCCAATCAAGTAGCTCGTAGCCACATTGGCTAATGCACCCTTGAAATGAGCCTAGTGCCAAAACAACCTTTTGTCTTATTCTTTATTAACTCTAAACAGTTCTGTGAGATTAGTGGCTGTGGTGTTGGATAGATGGAGCTCAGGAAATAGAGGAAAACTACTAGTAGAAACCCAGACTCTCCAGAATGACAAGCCCAAAGATCCATCCCCAAAGCAGGCTATTGCCAGGTTGGATCTGGCCTTTCTTTCTTGTGTGACAATAAGTTAGCCTGGAGCATGATAGCCCTAGATAGAATTCTGAGTGTGGGTGAAAAGAATGGGGAGAATGCAAGTGGAAGCTCAGTGCAGATGGTTCATGCCTATAATCATAGTTACCCAGGAGGCTGAGATCTGAGGATCACAATTTGAAGCCAACCCAGGCAGGAAAATCCATGAGACCCTTATCTCCAGTTAACCACTAAAAAGCCAGAAGTGGAACTGTGGCTCAAATGGTAGGGCACCAACCTTGAGCAAGAATGCTGAGGGCTGGGTCAGGCCCTGAATTCAAGCCCCCAGGACACACACACACACGCACACACGCACGCACGCACGCACGCACGCACGCACGCACGCACGCGCACACTTCATGGAAGAGATGTCTAGACAGTTGAGCACAATGGAGTGTTCTTAAGGTTGGGTTCTGAATGCTATTTGAAGCCCTTTCTTTGGGTCAAGTTCAGGTTTAAGCACTCCTGCTGGCATTTCTTAGACATGGTTGCTGTGGTGTCAAGAGGCAGGGAGAGGACAGGGTCAACACATCAGACACGTCTTGCTCTAAGCCCTTCACTAGAGCTTGAAGAATACCTCCTTCCGACCCTTACCTCCTTCCGACCCTCAACTACTGTGACTTGCTTGGTGTAAGTGCACAAGGTATGTGAACTCCTCAGACACAGCCTTCAGCTTTTTCTCTAGTACCTCATTTTTTTCAGTGTCCCTAGTCATGTGTATCTTGGCTCCTATCTACAACAAATAGGTGGATGAGTCATGTAAGGATTGGTTGGTTCATGCATTTACAGTATGCACTTCAATGTTTTTCAACTGGCAATTCAGTCAACTCCTTAAGCACTGCATTTTTCTACCTTACGGGACAATACAGAACAGCAGAAGAAAGAGTGTTGAAAACGGGATGTCCCGTTTGAAAACAACAGAGAACGAACTCGCCTTCATACTTGCTGAGCATATGAGTTAGGCTGCTGGCTCCATGACCCTGTGCAGCTGAGATAGGACAATTGTTCCTGTGTGTGTAAGCGTTTCTCCAGCGGTGACATGTGCAAGAGAGAAGATCCAGGGCTTGGGGATTTCTTTTCTTTTTTGTCTTTTCCACTTTTTCAAAAGCACCATTGCCCTCCCCCACCCACCGGATCCCCAGAAACTTGAGGCATAAATTTGTCAAGGGCGAGGCTGTTGGACCTGGGTCCTTCTATGTGGGATGGGGCGGGGGGGCTCCTGTAGTCTGGTGTCTGGGACTGGACCACACTAGGTCTGTCTTGTGCAGTCCCCTGCTGAGCCACAGAGCCAAGCCAAACAGCTCGCACAGCTTCAACAAGAGTATGATCATTGATCTGTTAGAATGGTGCACACCACAAACGGAGGCTGTGAAGAAAACTGCACAGTATGGAATGGTCTCTTGACCCTTGTGCTCACTAAGCCCCTTAGGGTGATGAAGCTGATCTTTTTTGTTATTGTTGGTCATGGGGCTCAAACTCAGGGTCTGGGCGCTGTCCCTGAGTTTTTGTTTTTTATTAGGTCTGCTTGTGGGGCCTGAACTTTGGGCCGGGCCTGGCCGCTGTCCCTCAGCTCTTCAGTTCAAGGCTAGCGCTCTACCACTTGAGCCACAGCTCCACTTCCGGCTTTTTACTTATGTGGTGCTGAGGAATTGAACCCAGGGCCTCGAGCATGCAAGGCAAGTGCTCTACCACTGAGCCACCTTCCCAGCCCTGTCCCTGAGTTTTTGTGCTCAAGGCTAGAGCTCTACCACTTTGCACCACTTGCAGTTTTCTGATGGTTCATTGGTCATGGACTTTCCTACCTGGGCTGGCTTTGAACCTCAGATCTCAGCCTCCTGAGTTGCTAGGATTACAGGTATGAGCCATCCTCACCCAGCCATGAAACTGATCTTAAGGGAGAAAAATTACCATCATTGATCAGAGAATGGTAATGTTCCAATGATCCAACCTCTGCAGTTAAAATTGCAGAGACCATGGTGCAGGGAATGGCTATTTTTGGTTGTTTTTGTTCTAATTTCACCAGCCACTAATTTTGGCAAGTGACTGCTGGACCTCAGGTCAAATCCTGACACTTCCTAACCGGGAGTCTCAGCCTTAGTCCCCACCTTGATGCAGGAGGTGCCTGGGAGCGCAGGGCAGGCTCACAGGCAGTGTCAGGTCACCTTGGTGCATGCTGGGACAGGAGCAGAAAAGAAATGGGGTGCCTAAGAGATGTCCTGAGGCCCCACATGCTCAGGAGGTCAGGAGAGATGTCACCTGTTACAGACCCTAGGGACATTTGTCACCTTACATGTCTTTTACAATCAACTGTTTGAACTATAGAAATGACTCTCACCCATTCCTTCTCTCTTCTTCCTGTCCCCTCTCCACATCCAACTCTCTATGGGCCATAAAAGAGGGACATCACAGATATAGTCCACTGTGTTGCTTTGAGTAGTGTGAGCATAAATCTCAAATGGTGCACAAAATGAGACAGGCATCAAAGGCTCATGACTACACAGGAGGCTGAGATCTGAAAAATTGTGGTTCTGGACCAGCCTGGGCAAAAAGTTCTTGAGACTTTTTCTCAGCAGAAGAAGCTGGGTGTGGTGGTATGCACCTGTCATTCCAGCTACAATGTAAAGACAGTCTATCGCTAAATAACAGGTGTTTAAAAAAAAAAAAAAAGCTTAGAGAGTCTGGGAAGGTGGCTCAGTGGTAGAGTACTTGCCTTGCATGCATGAGGCCCTGAGTTCGATTCCTCAGCACCACATAAGCAGAAAAAGCTGGAAGTGGCGCTATGGCTCAAGTGGTAGAATGCTAGCCTAGAGCTAAAGAGCTGGGAGACAGGGCCCAGGCCCACAGTTCAGGCCCCACGACCAACCAAAAAAAAAAAAAGCTTAGAGGTGTGGCTAAGTGGTAGAGCTTGTGCCTACAAGTGTGAGGTACTGAGTTCAAAACCACAGTATTGCCAAATTATAGGAAATAAGGCTATGGAGCAGAATGCCTGCTCTCTTCTCTGTGGTCCTCTTGTGCCCTAACCTTGTTCTTGCCAACGCATACACACTCATACATATCATCACACATATAGTCCTTCATACACACACACACACACACACACACACACACACACACACACACAGGAATAAGTAGGAGTAAGCATTTGGAGCTTCCTGTACAAGGGATGTGGCCTCCATCATTTGAGCTTGGCAGAAGGGGGCCTCAACAGGCTTCTGGGTGGGGAGAGAAGGGAAGGAGGAAGGGAAGCTATTTAGTAGGTCCTGATGCAGGCTGTTGCTCCAGGGAATAGCAGCATGTGCTGCTTGAGGAGTCTAGTGATTCCATTGGTCTGATGCTTGGCTTCTGTGAGATTAGAAGTGGGGTGGGAACGAGGCCCTCTCAGAGCATCATCTGACTTCTTGCAGCTCTGATTTCCACAGGCTGCTTCTTTGGCTGGTTATTGAAGATCCTGGGTTGGTTTCCTGCGCTGGCTGTGGCAGAGTGTGGGTTTGATGCTTATTTGTGTATTGGTCTTTGGATGTCCACCATTCATGAAATGTGCTCATTGCCCTCACACACCAGCATGGCACACACACACACTGACAGGAGCCTTCCGCTGCCGCTTTCCTTGGGGGCTGCCGGCTCCCTCAGATAAGATGTGGTGATGCCATGAGGGGCTGTCAGTCCCTCTCAGTGCAGTGAGGAAGGAATGGGGGAGGCAGAGAGGCCTCGGGTGCTGAAGTGGGCCCAAAGAGACTAGTAGGCCGGGGCTGGGCAGGAAGACAAGAGTGAACCCCGGACTACGCAGGAAGCCCAGCAGGAAAACGAGGAGGCTGCAGCCAGTTGGCTGCCTTTGAAGCTGTGGCAGCTGAATTTGCCCAGCTGGATTCCTTCTGACCAGCCTGGCTGCAACCTTAGGGTCTCAATCCCTGCATCCTGGTTGCCAGCCTGGTCATATGCTGGTTGGCTGGTCATTTAGAGAAGCTGCTGCAGGCTTTAGGGATTGTCCAGGCTTCCACCACAGGCCTTGGCCCATGCCTCCGCCACAAGAGAGACCCCCAGGGTCAGGTACCACAAAGGAAAGTGAAAGGCTTGTGACTAGCCAAGTGTGAGTGGACCATGAGTGTGTGGGACACAGTGCAGAGGTCTGGAGGGCACTTTGGGCAGCACTTTGGGCATGGTGTCAGCTGATCTGAGATTGTCAGCTGCTCAGAGACTCACTGTGCCCTGATCCACCAGCCCTTCCTTAGGGAGGGGCTTCTCTGTCTTGTTCTCCAGTTTAGCTAGCATTTAGTACCCATTTTTTTTGTTTATTTTTGTCAGTCATGGGGCCTGAGCTCTGGTCTGGGCACTGTCCCTCAGCTCTTCAGCTCAAGGCTAGTGCTCTACCACTTGAGCCACAGCGCCACTTCCGGCT